TGTTTGCTTTCATTCGAGGGAAACCATAAAAGTTTACTGAAATTCAACTGAAAATGAACTTAAACCCCACTTAAAAACAATATTCCTTGTTATTGAATATTGCTTTTGTTATGGTGAACATTTCATGGATGAACTTTTGTTAACATACGATATCGAGCCACAACTTGTCTGAATGCCAGTGTTACCTTTACATAAATATAAATACCATGCAACATTTCTATTCTTTTATAAAGGTTTTTGTATGAAATGCTATTTAGATGCTTCATGACCAGCAAACATAAATAAATGTTATTAAAGGTGGTCTTGGCTGAGAGGGAGGTCTGAAAGACTGAATTCCTTGCGGGAGAGGCAAATTAACCAGAGAAAGTTTTATTTCACTATCAACATAGTAGTGGCATGCACACATCAGCTGGTATTAATCTTGGTTATGGCTTGAGGCTAGTGACTGATGGCATGCTATAAATTCAAATTTGGAAGGGAAAAAAAAGGTGATCCTCCTGATTCATGCGTTAAAACTCATTTTAAGTTGGATCAGATTGCAGATATCTGACTTCTACGTAACAGCAAGTGTTTGGGCCAGTTTCCACAGTTTTGGTTTTTCCATTCTGCTTTCTGCTGCGTTATCTTCCTGGTGCCAGTACGGACTTCCTGCAATTGGAGGTTTCGGGACTTTTTGAGCTGGAGGTTGTACCTGAACAGCCGTGTTTCATAGCCAAAATGAATTTGTCTAATCCTTTTCAGAATCCATTTATAACTCAGTCCTCCATAACATTCTATGGCAAGGAGCCTCATAATTTAATTACACGTTGCATAAAAAGGTACTGAAATTAGTAAAAGTTATTAAAATCTTTTAGCCCAGGAGAGCCTTATTAGCTGGCGTCCCTCATTTGTTGGAAAGCCTCGCTGGGCAGGAAGGAAGGGCTGTTGCTGCTGATGGAGGCTTACCCAGGCATGCAAGTTCTGCAATTACTCCTGCTTTTGGCCTGCAAAATCCTCATTGCATTCTTCTGGTGCTCATCTACTGAATGCTGCTGCAGCTGACTGTTACACAGCTTTTACTGTGCAGTACCTCAGCCAGGCAAATTGATGTCTGTTGTGTCCCAGGGCAGCGGGAGCTGACACTTGAAAACAATATCTACCTCAAGCAGCTTCCTTGGCAAGAAGGAAAATGTGTTCCCCTGGCCCAGCCTCCCCATCTAGCTGCATGTATGGTGGGGACGTGGTCAGAGAGAGGTCAGGGCACTCAGAAAAATCAAGCAGGCGTCTTGCACATTCACTGCATCACTGAACTGCTTCAGCGAGCCAGGAGCAGCCTCTCATGTCCTGTGCCAATGGTGCACAGCTGCTGCTGGGGAGCTGCTGCCGATTCTCCTGCCCTCCCACCTCCTTCAAGGGGCCTTCTCTGCAGCTCCCACATCCTGCTGGTAGCGTGGGATGGGCACAGGGAGCTCCAGTCATTAAGAACAAGGCAGAGGCCACCAGGTGCAGTAGGTGTGCAGGAAAGGAACAGTCAGTTCATCTAAAAGAAAGCACCAGTGTGGTCTGCTCTGCTCATTAATGATACATTTGGCAGAATATGTTAATTGGGTGAGGTTGAATTCCAAAGTAGGTCTTGCTACAGCCAGGCCAAGGGTTTTTGTGTAAGGATGACTCCTCCACAAATCACCTAGCAGGGCTGTGACTATTAATTATACTCTGTTCCAGCAAGCACCAATAGAAATTAACATTTTCAGCCTGAGGCTTCCAACGATGTGTGCATAAAACCACCAGCAGGAGCCCTTTCGTAGGGTCAGCTCTGTGCCATGGGGCTCTGGGGGCATTGGCAGGAGGCAGCCAGGGCTTTGCACGTCCACCAATGCTGTGCATCCTGGCTCTCTGCAATGGGGAAAATATCATCAGTCCTGGGCAGGTGTAACAGTTAGTTATTCAGGAGAGGAATTTCTGCCCCTATGAAAGCAGGAAGTGTTGATGTAAATGCGCAAAACTGCTACTCTGCAATTAAAAGTCTTTCCTTTGGCCAGCATCTCTTCTAAGCGCAGTATCCAACAGAACTACTGAAGTTCTGGTTTCCACAGGCCCTCAGGGATGCGGTGCTCCCTTTGAACATCCCAGAGCAGAAATCCCTGCTGGGGGCAGCGAGCAGCCATGCTCCTGTCTGCCTGTCCCTGCAGCACGAGGCACAGGCTCCACTCCCATCCCGGCCACCCCTTTCATCCCTCCGCACACTGCGCATTATCTGATCTGATGAGTCATCGGAAATCATCCCATCATCGCACGCTCAACGAGGCGAGGGCTCGTTAGCAAGCTACTTTGTGTCACCACTTCTTCCCATACACTGTGTGTTTCCCCTGCATTTTAGGATGCTTTAGGAAAGCAGCTCCTAAACTGCTAACCCTTTAATCTCAAAATAAGATAATCAAACGTGTTTGCGAGAGCTGCGCTAGCGACGCCTTCATCTAAACATAAGTTCTTACAGCAAAAACACACTGGTTGGATTTGCCTGCTCAAATCTCACAAAGCCCCTGTTGTAGCACAGGAAAGAAAACCTCACTCCTTAAACATGGTAATTCTGGGTAAGAACATTAATGGCAACCCAGAACTGGAAAGCTGGATGTGTAAATTAAAAAGCAAAAATCCTAATATCCTAATACCTATTACATGCAATCTCTATCCAAGTAGCTCTAAATGAGGAACACAGGTTGCTCTCTGATAGAGCTGCAATAAACCCCAACAGGATGCCCTCTGTTAGCATTACAAACCAGCCCACCTTTCAGAAAGAACCAGCACCACGGAGCTTCCCAGTCCGGCAGACGTTGCTCCCTATTTGTCTTCTACTCCACTCAAAGCACCTATCTGTGGCACAGATAATGCTGTGGAACAGAGAGAACAGCATCCCAGAGCTTCGTTTTCCCAATCCTAGTTTGGGACCACCTGACTGGTATGGCAGAGGAGAAAGGGTGCTTTGCTCAGCGCCCCAACCACCCACGCTCCTCCTTTATTCCCGGCAGGAGGCATTTGGGAGGTCAGCCCATGGATTTCGATTTCTACTAGAGATTGCTCAGTCGCATCACCTTGCAAAGGGGCTACGGGAGAAACAGAAAGGGGGGAGGGGGGGGAGCTGGACACCTCCGCCTCTCAACGCCCTGAGGCCGCGGGGGCAGCGCTCCACTGGGGCCGGGCCGAGGGCGGCAGCGCTGGGACGCGCCGTCGGGCGGAGCCGCTCGGCTGCGCGGCGCTTTGAAACAAAAGGGTGGGCTTTTTCTTTCTTTTTTTTTTTTTCTTTTTTTTTTTCCTTCTTTCTCTCCTTTATTTATTTATTTATTAAATTTCCTCTGGAAAAGAACTCCGACAGCCTTTATAAAATGGGAGATTTTATTTTTTTTCCTCTCGGAGAAAACCCGCTCCATCCCTCCTCTCCCTCCCCACCACGCGCGCCGCTCTCCCCCGTAGCTCCGGGCTGGCACGCGTCCAGGCGTCAGGATTTTTTTGGGTATTATTTTTATTACGACGACGGCGATGATTTCCCTCTATTTCCATGCACATTTCGGCTTCGGCTCCCCAAACTCTTTGATCTCCCCCGCTGTCTCCTTACCCGGAAGAAAACCCGGGGCCGGCTCAGCTGGGAGCTCGGCGCACACGTGGGCGCCCTGGCGCGCCTCCATGCTCCTGCCAAATTTAGGCGCACAAAGGGCCCGGGGGGACCGGCGGGGGGGGGATGAAAGGGGCCGCCGGCGGGACATCAAAGCGCCGCCGCCCCGCCCCGCTCCCGCCCTCTCCTATATAGGGGGCGCCGCTCCGCACGCAACCGGGGGGGCTGCGAGTGGGGATCGTGGGTTGTGTGCTTATGTCTCCCTTCCTTCCCCGGCAGTAGGGCTGGGGTAGAGCGGGGCCGGCCGTCGGGGCTGCAAAACAAAATGATCGTAAAATAATCGTTAAAAAAAAATTATTATTATACATCCCAATTGCCGAAACAGCCAAACGAAGCTAAAAGGTGTGCAAAAATGGAAAAAAAGAAAAAAAAAAAAAACAACCAAAACCTCACGACATCCTGCTATAACGCAATTCTGCGTGCATATAAAAAACAGGATGCTCAAAACCCGCTGATGTGCAGAAGGATCGGGCAGGTCTAGCAGTGCTGTCCCGGCGCAACGCCCGCGGAGCGCCTTGCGGTGCTCGGGGTGGCTCATCCCGTCCCCGTCTTTCTATTCCCCCTTTCCTCGTCCGTTTCATTCTATTCTCGCTGGTCCCTCCCGCCGTGCCCCGCTACCTTCTCCCGTCCTCAGACCTATCCCTTACGGAGCCGTCCGGGGGAAGCGGTGCGGAGGCCCCGCGGCCAACGGAGCGCACGGACGAGGTACGGGCTGGGCACGGTGCGCCCCGGCGACGGGGCCGGAATGGCGGGGAGCGGTGGTCCGCAGGATGCCCCGCACCGAACACAACGAGTGGCGTCGCTCCGATGTTTCCCAAGTGAGCGCGTTGGATGCTTTTGTTTGGATTTTTTCTTTAATTTTTTTGTTATCGACAAAATCTTTCCAACGCGTGTTCGCTCCCAACGGGGTGGAGAGGGGCACCGCTCCTGCAGCGCTCCCGGCTCCGCACGAGCGTACGTACCCGCACGGCGGCCGTCTCGGCAAACTTTCCCGGGGCCCGGCCCGGCCCGGCCCCCTTCCTACTCCCCTCCCTCCCCCCCCCGCTGCCCCCATCCCACCGCCCCCCGGTGTCACTCACGGCGGTGGCGCCTTTCATCTCCGCCGCCCCCGCCCCTCCCCGACGGCTGGGGCGGGGGGGTTCGGTTCGTCCCGCGCAGCCCTGCGGCCTCCCTACGCCGTTCCCCCCGCTGCGGGCGCCGAGCGCGGAGGCAGCAACTTGGCGAGGACTTCGCGGGGTTTTTTTAATTAATTAATTTATTTTTTTTTCCCCTTCTTCTCTCCTCCTCCTCCTCTCTCGCCTCCTCCCTCGCCTCCTCCCCCGCCGCTCCTCCCGCTCCCTTCCCGCGGCGGGCCGGCGGCCGCAGCAGACGCCGCGCTGCCGCGAGGATGCCGCAGCTGCCGGGGGCCGGGGGCGGCGGGGGGGACCCGGAGCTCTGCGCCACCGACGAGATGATCCCCTTCAAGGACGAAGGGGACCCCCAGAAGGAGAAGATATTCGCCGAGATCAGCCACCCCGAGGAGGAGGGCGACCTGGCCGACATCAAGTCCTCGCTGGTCAACGAGTCTGAGATCGCGCCCGGCGCCGAGGTGAGGGGCCGGGGGGCAACGAGGAACGGGGAGGGGCGGCTGAGCCCCGCGGTGGTGGCCGGGCCCCGGCAAAGGCCCCCTCGGCCCGGCCGGGCTCGGCGCGGCGCGAGTCCCGTGGGGCGGGCGGCGGCCCCAGCGCTGCCCCGCACCCCCACGGGCCGTGGGCTCTTGGAGGGGTTCACATTGAACTGTCGGGAAGAAATCCACGACGCTAAAACAACTTCGGAGAGAGCCCTTGTCGGTGTTCCTGCCTGTTTTCCTTTTTTTTTTTTTTTTTTTATATATATATATATTTTAATTCTTTTTTTATATATATATATTTTTCTCTCTCCTCCTCCCCCCCCTCCCAAATATGCAGTAACGAGGGCAACCTTATTTTCCTTTTGCATTTTGGTACCCATTGGGCGTTTCGGCCGCCGGAGCTCGGCGCGTTCCCGCACGCCGCCCCTCGGGCTGCGCTCTGCCCGGTGGAACCAGTGGTGCTGCTCCGCGCCGTCACTGTCCCGTCTTTTGAGGTGGACGGGCGCAGCGAACACCCTCACAGTGACTTCTCTTTTCCTTCCTCCTCTCCGGTGCCGGATTCCCCGCGGCCAGGTTTCCAGGCAGACTCCAGCACAGGATTCCTATCATGACAAGGGCAGGGAGCACCCCGAGGAAGGTGAGAACCGAGTGTCCCGTGTGCTGCTCCCACCTTCGGGCTGCAGTCCGTGTCAGAATTCAGTGTCTGTTGGGGATGGGGGAGCGCTGGGGCAGGAGGTGGATGCGCTGAGCGTTTATCTCCAGTGACCAAATGGTTGTCGAAAAAAAGACTGATAAGGAGGCCACATGGATCCTCGCTGAAGAAATCACTGTTTTGAGGATGTTGGCTTTGACACAGCGCAGCCAACTGTGTTGGGGAGCAGTGTGATTTCCCGCTAACGCATGGTGCCCCTTAAGCCCCTAAGCCTCCATCCGAGCAGCTCTCCTGCTCTCTGTAACACACCAGTGTTTGTTGTGGCCAAAGAAATAACAAAGTTTGTGGAATATTGCTTAGAGAGCCAGGCATGTGCACAAAGAACGAGTGCTGTGAAGGACAAAGGCTGTGCTTAATGTGCAGTGGTTATGATCACGGGCTGAAGGAGGTCATCACCTCCACAAGAGTGGGACGCAGCTCAGCCCCAATGCCTGCCGGGACCCTGTGGTTCCTCACAGAACTGGGCACTGCACAGCCGAACAGCTGCAATGTCTGTGCTTATGGCCGTGAGGGAAGATCAGCTCTGCGCAGCTCTTTCTCCTTTTGCATCCTCGGAAAAACTCACCTGCAGGCGGTCTTGTTGCCCAAACCTGTCCCTTTGCAGGACCCGGAGCCAAGCAATTTCCCCACAAAATCACCTCACCCCCTAGGCTCTCCCTCCCTGAGGCTGTTCAGCAGGCTTGGCCGTGGGTTTGCCCTGTGCCAGCCCTGCCCTGTGCTCCTGGTTAGGAGAGGAGGGGGTGATTGCCCCTTGTTCTCACCATCTTCTCCCTCCCCTCCTAGCAGTGATGGGGGGAAGCCGTGCTGGCAATGCTTCCCAGCTCAGCATCCCGGAGGGACGTGCGACGTGGGGGAAAACTGCTGCTTGAAGAACACGATGTCAGTGCTGGTGTTTCTGCCTACTCTGGAGGGGACTGGCGAAATAAATGAGTTGCTCTGAGGGTGTGTTGCATTGGCCCCTCACAAAGTGCAGTGACTCCTTTAAGAATTAACTCTTCTTCAAAAAATGTGGTTACAAATTGCTGGGACTGCTTTCTGCCAGAAATAATTGCCATAAGCAAGGGAATGTTCTCAGGCAGAACGTTTCCGTGAACGCACAGTACCTATTTAAGTGCTCTGAGGTGCACGCGTGGGGAATAACACCCTTATTGTCTCCTCTTCCGTAGGAAAGCATCCTGACGGTGGCTTGTACAGCAAGGGACCATCGTACTCTGGTTACTCGGGGTATATCATGATGCCAAATATGAACAACGACCCGTACATGCCTAACGGATCTCTGTCGCCACCCATCCCCAGAACAGTGAGTTCTCTCCCCGAAGACTTTTCGGGGTTCCTCCGTCGATCCCACAGCGTGTGGCCGCAGCGTGCGTTCGGGCTGTGGCAGTGTCGGTCGCGGTCCCGGTGGAAGAGCCGAACCCCGTGACGAACCGCAGCACTCGTAGCAGGGCCGGGGGAGTCCTGCTTTACACTGCGGGATAATGTGCGGTGGGGTGATGTAAATGCCGTCTTTGTAGTCGCGAGGACAGATGTGAATTTTCTGGCGTTAACTCTTTGTTTGTTGAGGAGTCTCGAGGGCTGCAGCAGGGCTGCTCAAGCTGCCTGTCAGCGAGATGAAAAGGCTCGCTCCGCTTTTTGCTGCCAGATACGGTATCGCCGGCTGCTGATTGACATTGATGCCCGCCATCGGTTGCTCCATGCAAAAAGGCTTTGTGCATCGGGGAGCAGCGCTCGGGATCCGCTCCCTCCCCACAGCACGCAGCATCACACTGGGGATTGGGGCAGCCGCTGCTAGCTCTGGGACGGTCCCTCTGCTCACGGTGCTGTAGGTGCCTTTGCGGATGGATCTTATCACACTTTCATTTTTGGATAGGAAATACCTTTATGGATTGATCTTAGTGTCTTTTTAGTTTTGGGTAGTAAATTCCACTGAGTATGTGTAGAGGGTGATGGGAAGACAATATTGTAACAATGATGGTTATATTGTCTACCTATCAATTGTGGAAGTTATATTAGAGTGGAGCAGGAAACAAAAAAAATTACAATTTTTTTCCCATCCCTTCCCCAGCCTTTGGAAGGGCAGGGAGTGTGCCTTATCCTTGCCAGCCTGATGCAATAAGTCAACCTATCTAATGTCGAGTGGGCAATGGGGAAGGGCAGTATTCCCCCATGCCTCACTCCAGAGGCGGGTGCTGCGTGCATGTGACTTCAGCTGAGACGTGATCACAAACCCCACCCATTGCACGTACCCAGAGCTGGAGTTGTAGTGTCATGCATGTGTCTTCAGTCTCCATCTTCTGTACACCTAGGAGCTAGTTTGGAGCAACCTGTCAGAGAAGAGGCTGCTGCTTTTGTTTTCGTGTGATTTAGAACTGAAATGTCATTATTCTTCTTGTGGTGCTGCACCTCCTCTTAATTCTGGTCCAGAAAAAAAACATTAAGATGAACAGTTCACTATGGGCCTCAGGTACCAGGGAGGACAGTACTCAAGAAGGCAGCCCGGGTGTCTGCAGCTTCAGGCACCAAAAGTTTTTCCAGATCCTCATGGTGCTGTGTGGCTGCAGGCACTGAAGCCCCACTCCTCTGCATGCTTCACTTCTGCTGATAAGTAGGGAGAGCTCCTAGAGGAGAAATAACCCACACAGAAGCATTTTACTGCTGCTGTAATATTTCTGAAGTCCTGTTAGAGGCATGCACCTTCTTTTTGTTTTTTTATGCCGTGTCTCTCAGACATGTGCAGGAGCATGCTCCGCTGGGGATATGAAGATTTGGCATCTCAAGTGCATCGAATTGCTGTTTCTACCCCACTGTCAGTCTGGGTCCCATCTCGCTGGCCCTGGCACAGCTGCTTTGCATGCTGTCCCCATCCCACAGCCGGGGATTAGCATCCCTGTCACTCCGGCCCTTCCGAGGCATTGGATTCACTTAAGAAAATTGCATTCAGAATAACTTAATCTAGCAAGCCAACGGCTTCTATTTTGAGACTTGGATCTTGTGGATGTGTTTATTTAGCTTGGGTTTCCCACTTCAAAGGAATCTGTCCTCTCAGCAAGAAAGTGATTGAGCACTTAAATAAAAACGTATTCATTCAATCTTTGGGGCTGAACGAAAAGTACAGTAGGGAGCTAATGCGCGTGCCAGCTTTGCTGATCGGCCAGGGATCGTCCCCACAGAGGGGAAGAAACGCGGTCAGAGCTGCTCCAGAGGAGTCCATCCCTGCTGTCTGCTATGGGGAGTTGGGTTCTGGGTATCTTGGTATGTCATCTTCAGAAGTACCCAACCACTCATGCAGAAGTGCACGATGATGGAGCTGGAGGGTGTCCTCACTGTTCATCTGTTCTCTCTGTGTGTCTGTGAGTGTAGGTGATGTTGGAGGAGGACCTTGGTCAGCAGGCACTGCAGGTGTAAAGTGACATGGCTGTAATGGGATCTTTGTCAGATGGGCAGTGGGACTGGAGCAGTGGGCACGCAGTGATCGCCAGCAGCTGATTTTGGTGCCTCTGGGATGGAGAGCAGCGCACTTCAGCAAGGTGTCCTGTGGAATGTGCTTCTGGTTCATGCTCCCTGTGGCATCACCTGCTTGGGAGCAGCCTTGAGACTCTATGTCCACTATTTTCTGCTTCTTTCTGTGTTTCAAAACTGCCTCTTTTTTTGACCGCATCTCTCCACAGTTTTAGCTTATCTTTGTGTTTTGATCTTTCTTTGAATCATAGGATCATTAAAGTTGGAAAATACCACTAAGGTAATTCACTTCAACCATCAACCTGTCCCCACCATTCTCACTGAACCGTGTCAGTCAGTGTGGAAAATTTTTATTTCAACATTCTTTTCCTCTCAAAGCTGAAATAGAACATCATACCAAACACTGTGAAGGACAGTGTCTAAATCTTGCGTAAATCCACCTTTAAAAAAATTGCAATTTGGAACATAAAATTAAACGCATCAGTATTTTTCAAATGAATGCCATGCCTGGTGAGAATTTATTTCCCCTGCAGTTGTGCTAAAATGCAGGTAAACTGCATCTAATGGTGGAGGTGGTTCAGGTGGTGCACTGCTACCCTCTTGCCAGGTACTAAATGCCTGCAAAGTCTGGCTGTAGGATGCCCTGTCCGACAGCACATCAGGTCGGGCGATGCTCGTGCTCAGCATAGATGGGAAGAGCAGTTTCCCTGCCCTGGGAAGGGAAGCGTTTGGTTTTGCTGTCCTGTGACATTGTAACACTGAGTTACATCAGTGCTGTTCCAGCTGCCTGGCTCTCTGCTGTGTGCTGTTGGCATTTAACCTGACAAGTGAGTTGGAATGGATCAAGTTGGGTTTGGAAAAATTGTTACCCAAATTCCTCTCTTTCCCACACACTTTATTCAGTATCTTCAATACCCATGGAATAGGGAGAAGAGGAGGCTGTAATGGATTTAACGAGAAAAAATGAAAGAAACACAAAAAAAGCTTAGCTCTTAAGTTTGTGGTTTTGTTGTGATTTCTTTTCCTCTTTCTGTTATTTTGAGAATATTTCTAAGGCATCGAGACCCTGCTTGAGATGTAAATCTCCGTGAGGAAAACTCATAATAGCTGCAAAAAAATGCCAATTTGTTAGGCAGCTCCTCCGCCAGTCTGACAGCGTTCTTAGGCTGGCAGCAAACTACACTCCTTATCAGAGTGACCTGTGGCAGATGGCGTCATACTTTGGAGTAAGGAATATGAAGGCATTCTGGGAGAGCTGGTCAGCTTGATCTGGCTGTAGGTGCCCCTGTTCATTGCAGGGGAGTTGGCGTAGATGACTTTTAAGGGTCCTTCCCAACTTAATTCCATGATTCTATGAAATGCTGTCTGAATCAGAACCTCCTTAATGAAAGGATCTCCCAAAACAGCCTGTACAAAAAGCGTTTCCTCTTACTCTGAAGCCTGTAATTTTTTCTTTGGTTTGTTTTGTTTCTAGGGATGTGTGTGAGAATTTTGCAGACTAATTGGGTAGATTGAGAAGTATCATTGCATCAGGAAATCTGGCTTAGACAAAGCTGGTTCGATGACTCTTGTGTTTGGGTTTTTGAGGGGAGTGGGGTTACACAGAGGTTTTGTGGAGCTTCTCCTCCAGGTCCAGCTGCATAGCTGCAGGTAAACACATCTTGTTTGTCAAACAGTTGTGTTCAATGTCCAAAATATCCTGTTTTGCTTAAAGAACTTTTCATCCTGATGTCTTCTGGACAAAGTGTTTTCCAGGGTCAGACTTGCATTCTTGCTCTGGAGGCAACCATTTCTAGCCATGAAGCCCTTAACACACAGGTTCTGTGGGCTGGCTTTAAACTGTCCCCTATCATCTGTTCCTTGCCTCTGTGTCACTGCTGGGTGACTTCACACCGCAGGGCTGGGCTGCTTGAGGCTGGGATGTGAGCCTGGGGGGCAGTGCAAGTTGCTAGGCTGTGGCTGGGCTGAGGGTGGAGCAAAAGTATGTGCCTGTGCAATTAAGCATGAAATAGGTAAGTTCTTTGGATAATTACCTGGCGCTGAGTTGAGCTTGAGGACATGACCCGTGGGAATGGCTGTGGGCTGGTAAGCTGTGGGCAGATGGAGGGGAGATGTCCACCTGGTCCTCCAGCATGAAATAGGGCCACAGGCTGAGACGACTTGTCTGGAAACAGGGAGCCTGATGAGAGATGTTCAGGAGGTGATGGCAGAGGTGGGAGCAAAATACACAGCTCCTGAGCATCCTTTGGGAACCCATCTGGATGACAGCTCCTCTCTAAAGATATGTTTTTGTGGTGGTGCTTCTTTGTCTTGTCTCGCTTTCATGAAAACTAACCAGAAGTCTGAGAAAGTAAAAACTGGAATGTATGTGGAGTAGGGACTAAGAGAAGTTCTCAACACCTCTATCTGATTAAAAGCAATGCTGATAAGAAGGAAGTTCCTGGCAGTGCTGGCTTGGCTGTTTTGTACACTGTCTTGCCATAAAGGACCAGAGAATTCTGATGAAGTTTTTAAGAAAAAGCAGGGAGGAACTCAAAAAAAAAGAGTGTAAAAACTTTTTGTCAAAAAGCACATTTTGATCTTTTCCCTTTCTATTCCCTGCCACTCCAGCAGCACCAGTATCTTCCCCCTCTTCTGTGTCTCATATTTATTGCCACACAGGGATGCAGGCTGCTTGCTCCCAGCATCGTGATGTGGACTTTTACTTCTTTCTCAGTCCCTCTGTTAGAAATCCAGCACAAATGGGACCAGATAATGAGCACGGCGCACTCCCTCCCCTGGGAAGCTGCTGTCCATCCTGTGCTCCTCCAGCTTCTGAGCTCCTTCAGCATCCAGGAAAAT